AGCAAAAGAAGAAGAAGGAAAAAAAAGCATCTCTTTGTGTATGTGTGAATGTGTGCGTGCTTGTGTGTGTGTGACAAGATATTCCCATAAGAGGTTTTGTATTCTTTCTGCATTATTTATCCTTCCTTTCATCTGAACAGTTCTATTTTCAGCCGATCATTTAATGTCCTGCCCGGGGTTATCTTGTGTTGGGAAGAAACACAGCAACTCATAAGTTATGGATACGTGGTGACGCTCCACATTATACACACATGTATGTCTTTCCTCAGAAATGGCAGAGGTGGCTGAGGTCAGGAGATGACACATAGGAATGAGTTTTGTTTATCTGCTTTCAGTCTGGTTTTGTTTATTTTAATCCTTTATTATGCAGCACCGAAGCATGCAAATGTTGCTGGAAATGTGCTATAATTAAAGTTGAAGTGATTGGTGATACGCTGACATTTTGCTCAGCTCAAATTACAGCCATGGTGATACACAAAGCTTGGCATTTATGTTTGCTTCATCCTTCCCCTTCTCTCTTGCAAGAAAACAACTTTTTTGTCATCAAGCTCTTTCATTTACTGTTGCAGACCTTGAATCTCCATGGAGGGTTTGTTATTGCGTTTTTCTCTGTTCAGCCATCACTGCAGCAACTAGACACATGTGCACATGCATGCAACACAGATAGGACAACAGAAAACAGGCAAAGGGGCTTGTCAGGTCATTTCATATTGACCGTGGAAGCCATCTTTGCTTTTAACTCTGCACTTATTAGCGGTGATACAGATGATATACCTGTGTTTACTGCTACCTTCCTGCTCCTTCCTGAAAAGTAGTACCACTGTGTATCTGTATGTTTTTGTGGGTGTGTGAATCATACCAGCACAGAGAGAAGCATTCAGTTTTTGATGGGACCCCCAGGTCTTCACTCATCTTCCCTATTGATTTTCTCTTGCTTTCCTTTTTGCACTCCCAGGGGATGGGATGTCTCAATTGGTCCCGGCTGGTAAAAGGGAGTGTGAGATATAGAGAAACAGATTGAAGATGAGGGAAAGCGAAAAGCAAGGGGGAAAAAACGAAGGGAGAGAAACATAGAGAAAAAGAGGAGGAAGAGGCAGGAGGGGCCTGTGAGCTCGCTGATCACAGAGGCCCTCGCTGACCCCTGACCTTGATCATGACCTTAGAGGTTACACCAGGGGTCAGAGGTTGTGTGAAAGTGCCACTGCGGCGATTCACTCCACTGCTGGGTGATGATGATCTTATACAGCCTCCCCAGCCTGTCTGACATGATCAGTGTTGCTCCCTGCCTGCAGCTCCCAAGGGCCACACATCCATCTCTAACCCAGCCACACAAGGCCCGCTAAAAGCACCTTACAGGCAGAGTCAATGAGCAGGAGGAAAAGGGACATAAACAGAGAAAAGTGGGAAAGCTAAAGGAAAGGCTGTTTTATTCTTTCCCCTGCAGCTCTGATGGACAATAAGATCTAGTTGTATAATGGCACTGACACAAAGAATGTGTTGATTTCTTTATATTTAAACCAACCAGACATACAGCACATGAACTGATGAGGGTAAATTTGTGAGCCCCAACATGTTCCTGCTGTTGTCCTTGTCATCAACAGTTTACACTGTTTTTTCTCCTCTTTAATTTTACCATATAGAGTAATAAAAAGACGTGAGGGGAAAAAAAACCCACGCAAGTCATTCATGCCAGACGTGCATGAGCCTCTGTAGCGGGAACATGATAATTTGTAGGTGGATTGATAGCTCAGACTCTTACTTGTTCCGACTTACACTGTGTACCCCCTACTGCTTCAAAGTAATCCAGAGCCTAGTGAAGCTTCAGTCAAATCCGTATGGAGATGCAGTATGTTGAAATGCAGAGAGTTTGAGAAGAGCGCCTGGCAGTACAAAATCAAATGATTCATAATGCTCACAACAAAATTTGCACTATGATAATTTTTCCCAATTAAATTATTACCTTACTGAATACAATTTTGCATTAAAACATGGAGATACTACAGTAGGCCTATATAGAAAAATTGTTGCAATTCACTGATAGAGCGCTATGTGAAGCAGAATTTTACAGAAAAGTCAAATATCTGTATGTGCACAGTTATGATCAGGTAAAATACCAGTAGCTATAGAAACAGACAGGTTGATTGTCCTCCCTGAATAGAAAACACATTGTTTGTTATGTGATTGAAATGAGATTGATGTTGATGTTGTATTGTTCATTATATGATGATTTATGGGTTATACTTCTTAGTAAAATGTTCTTCAGTTTGAATAATTATAAAAATCGTAAAACAAAGTTCTTTGTTTGCCGTGCAATGTGGTGTGAGCCAGTAAAGATTTCTCAATAGAAACACCATGCATTGTGAAGATACTTTCAGATGTTACCATTGATTGAGAAAATATTGTTGACTTTCCTTTAAGTTCTACCACCTATCGTAATGTAAATGGGATAAAAATACATCATGCTTCTTTCAGTTTTGTGTTTTCTTTGTGTGATAGTAAGAGATCACTATACAAACAAAGCATAATGGACACACTGCAGAGCTACTAAGCCTGTGCGGATTATCTCAGACCTGTATTTCTGGTTTGGCTTAATGATAGGTAGCATCACAAGTCATGCAGGCCAAGCGAAGGAAACACTGATTAACATGGTGGAAAGGGGAAGAAATGAGAGGATTAAACACAGGATTCATCAGTTTATATGTCGTATTTTTTTCTAAAAAGTAAACACGTCTAGAAGATTTCTTACACACTGTATCTTAGTGCAGATCAATTGCCCAGCCTTTTAAAAGACAACCATGATGTGGTAATAACTGATGTTAAAACTAATATGAATCATGCTGCTCTTATGTCTTCATTCATAATGATCTTTTAAAGTAGCTCTCCCTATTTGTTTTATACAGATTGAATGCTAAGTGTGATTCAGTACACTTTATTAAAAGCATGTGACTGGGAGTGAAGGGAAAACTAAAGCCTTTAATTCACTGTATTATGTCTATAAATGAAGTATAAAATAAGGCAAAGCTATTTAGGCTACATATCAGCTGAGCACTGAGCACCATTCATACTGTAGTAGGAGGGAGACACAAACAGCTTCAAATCAAATCAAGTAATGAAGTGAAAGTTGAGCTAATTCAAAGCACAAAAATGGCCACCTTTGTATCCAAACGAATGAAGTGAAAGAGGCGTCATTATCTATGGCAAATTCTTGTGTTATTTTTAGTGAATGCAATTAAAGTGCAATGGCTGTAAAGAAATGAAAATGATTGGAGAGAAAGAAAATAAAGCTATGAAACATTTTTAGTAAAGGCTGAGTTGATACAAAGGCTGTAGGTCTGAGCACTCAAAAAGAAAAAAAAACTTCCAACGTGTGACTGCAGGCGTGGATTTTCCATACAGCCAGGCCTCACGACGCATTCGACAAGTCAAATTTGGGAAGCCACAAAGTGCTAAAAATGAAAACAATGTGTACAACAGATGTGTTGCCCTGATAAACCTGAGCAGCTCAGCTCTAGTTTGGTGTGCAGAGCAATTGCAGGCTGAAGCTGAGGCGAGATGTGCTTTAAGGTGCATGAGGCGGTACAGTTTGACACAGGAATTTAGGGCACTCCAAACATACAGTGTAATTAGAAATTCTTTGCATATCCCTCTGAGGCACATCCACACACTGGGGGGGGTCAGAGGACATGGCCAGCAGGAGTGACGCCTCAGGAGCAGCCAGGGTTCAGTGCGTTGCTCAAGGTCACTTCAGCAAAAGATATGTATGCACATTGACACTCTAACCACTGGGCTGCCCTGCTGCTGCAATGACTTGACTGTGTTAATAACACAACAATCCGATTTGATTAACTAATCTGATTAATATCTATGTAGCAAAGTGACGCCTTAAATGAGAATATCAGACTTAATTTCCTAATCAAATAACTGTTAACTGAGAAAATCATGAACTCGAAAATACCTTGTGCCAAGTGTAAGTCCACTCCATCTTTTACCAGTTCTTTGAATGGCCAAGTTCAGCAGGTCCTCTCCAACCCTGCTTTGTTGCATATGCTGAGTTTGTACACTAGATCCACCCTCTTAATCAAAATAAAATAAAATATACCTGTATGTATCATAAAACTCAAATGATTGTGGTTATTTTTTATTATTAATTTGTGATGAATGTTGTGTTTTCACTGTTTGGTCAGACACTTACCCTATTTTCAAGAAATAAATTTAGATTAAATTTATATATATTTTTTTGCAATTGCCCCTCTTGTCCATCCATAATGAAACAAACAAGATTTTTTCTCTGGGTTCACTAAAAAAACAAAACAAAACAAAACAAAACAAAACAAAACAAAACAAAACAAAACAAAACAAAACAAAACAGATGTAGTTTTCATAAATTTGAGTTGTGCTTTTTGTTGTAACAGAAATATCAGCAATGGTTTGAGCCAGTGACAAAAATCCAAGCAGTTGCTTGGGTAAATATATTACCAAGTGACTTTTTATTTCTAAATCTCACTGTCATGCTGAATTTGCCGGAGAAATGATTATTGATTTTTATAAATTATTAGATGTTACATTATGTTCTTGCACAGTGGCACACATTTCAAAGGAGAGATTGGTCCTGAATGCTACCCTGCTGAGATTTTTTTTTAGATATGGCTTCCAAGTAGCCTCCTGGCATTATTTTTGTATGATCTTTGCTCTCCATTATACATAATAACAAACCAAGCTGGAAGAGCTAACGTAGGCTTATCAGGCGTTCACAATTTCGTGTATTTCAGCGTAATAAAATTAGGAGTAATTTAACGCCAGTTCGGTTATTTACCTGTAATATCTGAGTGTTGATAAAATGCTATTTAAGCAATTATAATGGCGTTATTAAGGCAACACTCCTGTAAGTTGACTCCGTTCCGTACAGCAGCTGCTGCGGGGGTGAGCAGTGGGAGTGATCCGGTCCGGGTGTTCCGACCGCCCGGTCCTCTCCACTGAACTCCAACCCCCGCGCTCTCTATCAGCATCTCATTCCTGTCTCAATATGTCTCAAGATGGCGGCCAATGCAGGATCGATGTTTCAATATTGGAAGCGCTTTGACTTACAACAACTACAGGTCAGTTCAACCTCTGTTTAAATCGTCTACCCTCCATTCGCCTCGGTTGCCTTGTCTCTCTCGGCGGCTGCGTTTTGTCTTTTTTTCGGCAGCCGTCTCGTAGGTGTTTCGGAAGAGAATTCAAGACCTCTTCCTCACATTGATGAAAGTGGCTCTCTCGCTGATCAGAAATTGATCCTCTTTGTTCAATTCAACATCGATCGGACACTGCAACTGGGCAAGCCGGGGCGACGCCGCGGGGATGCGCCGAAATAAAAACAAAACGGCGGGGCTCTGTCGGAAAGCTTTCGGTTCGCTATCTTTATTGCGTGTTCTTCAACTTTTACTGGAGCGAGTAGCCGTAGTTAGCCCGACGCTTTAGCCGTTGTAAGGTTGGATAATTTGGGGGAAAAAATAAGTGCGACTCATTATACGGTGGCGCTGTGGTGACACCAACCGTTCAGACGGGCAGCCTTGACACACAACAGCGCTTTGCTTCTGTTTCTTTCTGCTTTTAACTGTCAAATGTAAGTTTAGTTCAAAGCGAATGAAAACCTTAGCAATCTTATCGGCTAACGGTTTAAAGCAGTTTATGTTGAAGTCGTCTCCGTGATTATGGTTGATCAACTCGGCCGTTTTTTCGGTTTCCCCCCCCCCTGACGGCAATTATACACAGAGAGGTTTTTACAGACGTTGCCACGTCTGTGGAAGTGGACGGGACGGGACAGTGTTTGTTGACGCGATGCAATTAAATAAAATAATAGTAGAAATATGAGCGATCATGACCTTGTTGGTTGTGATGAACTCCAGAAATGTCCCAGCCTCACGCACGCCACTAATCTCGGCGTGCATGGAGGAGATCCATGGCACAGTAAAGGATATGAGGAAAATATTGGGCCTATTCAGTGTGTGTGAATATAGCCTGTGTATATTAGAGCCTGTTTGACCTATCACAAGACATGTAGACAATGGCACTGTTGTGTTTTCACTTGGCATTTAACGTGCATTGCTGAATTTCAAATCACAATTTATGAATATTAGCAGCCCGGTCGCCGTCGTCATTAACATAAGATTGCATTATGTAGGCTAGCCCAATTGTTCATACATTATTTTGTAAATCGCACAGGCTTGGGATTTAAACTTTTATTTAGGTCATGATGCCCCTATGACTGGGTAGACAAAAGGACAGTGAACAAGTCTTCCCAGCGGGCTTTGTGTTGCACTTATGCCACATCATCAAGGCTTCACTTCTCCTATTTATTTGATCCTATTTGGTCCTCCTACTCGTGCCCCCTTGTTCATGCATTATGTAAAAAATTTGAGACTGCTTTCTCTTTTCTTTCCTGCACTATCTATCTCCCACCCCCTTCCTGTCCCCCCCACCCCCTCCAATCTTTCTCTCCCTCACCTCCCCCTCCCCTCCTTTTAATTTTTTTCCTCTCTCTTCACTGGCCCTTCACCCTGCCTTCACCCATTTTGCCCTGTTTGAACTGGTGTGTGTGTGTGAATTTGTCTGAGATCAGTCTTTTTCGTAGATTGACTGCCAGCACGGACAGTGAAGGCACTGCCAGCAGCCAGGACATGAAAAATGCATCGCATAAGTTTGTGATAAGGCCCTGGGTAATTATGGCAAAGGCCCCTATCACAAGCGATTAGTCAGGACAGTGAATCTGAGCGTGTGCAAAAAGGCTGGCGGTTGGCAGGCCTGTCTGCAGGATAGGAATCAGTCGGAGCTGGTGTGTGTGTGTGTGTGTGTGTGTGTGTGTGTGTGTGTGTGTGTGTGTGTGTTCGTTCGTGTGCGCAGAACTGCTCAGAACATTCGCTGTCTATTATTGATGACATCTTATTTACTCTCCCTCCCACTGAGAGGCTCCTAGAGGAAAGCCTTCAGAGGAGAACCTTTTTTTCTTATCTGTTTTTTGAGGATAATGTGGGGTTAGTATGATATGATCATGGTCTACACATGGCCTTGTCAGCCAATTGCTTTCTCATTTGCTTCCTCCTTGTGTTTGAATGGACAGTGTGCAATGTACACTTGCACTCACAGTCTGTTTTGTCTATGTGAGAGGCACCAGCAAAGGAATGTTTTCTTTTTTTTTTTTTTGTTTCTTTTGATGATGAAAATCCAACCCAACCTAGATGTCAGTAGCTTTAAGCCATCATAGCGTCTATTCCTCAGGCTCCAACTGCTGATGTTCATTAAAATCCTATTTGATCAGTGTGTCCTATTCCCTGTGTGAGAAACTAGCTAGGTGGTTGTTACAGGACAGAGAGTGCTTTGAAACAGCACAGCGAGCTGTTAACTTGTCTTCTCTGCATGATTTTTTTTTCCTCCCCCCCCCCCCCCCCCCCCCCTCACCACTACAAACACAAATGGGTGCAACAGTGATGCTTTTAGCAAGGTCTCGCACACTTGCAAAATGGATCAGTGATTCAGAGATGATGGCAGGGTGACAGTGAATTACAGATGGAGGAGGTTTTAACGTCTGTAATCCCTGTTCGTCCATTACAGAGTTGAGTTTCTTTAGAGGGGATCATCACTCTTCTCTCCTGTTGTTTTTTTCCTTTTTTTTCTTTTTTTTTTAACCCAGTCAAGCAGTTTGCTGGAACATTGTGTTTCTACTTGAGAGCGATGAGAAATTGCGCTTCGTTACAGGAAAACCTTAATAAGATATGAGTGAATAGCTGAGTCTGAACCTATACTTTTATATTTTTTGTGTAAGCTTGGAAAATTAAGAACAGACCTTTGTGTTATACACAATTCCCAATTTAGGCCTAATAGCCTACATCTCACCTCATAACATTTCCTGGAACAAAGCACCCTAGAGCCATTTTGAAAAAATAGTTCACTATGTTAGCGGACAGCTAAATAGTGACTTAGATGAAAACTGATCTAGAGTTCGTTCTTATTCGCCACCTCCTAATGGGTAAATTTAGGAAAAGGGTTTTGTAAACTGATCCCAGAGCTGTGGTCAGTGGCAACCTGAGTGGTTTAAATCTCTCAGCGACTGGCCCGCTGTTGTCTGCAGGAGTTTTAGTGTTAATTTATGAGCTGGTTGTCTGAACTCACTGGTGGGATATTTTTACCCCTCTGTTGCTGCACAGGCTGGGGGAGCATAGAGGAAGGGGCATCACGTCATGCTTTTACTGTAGCCAACCGGTTCTCTGCCCAGTGACAAAACCTGGCATTGGGACTGAGGTTTCACTGTGTGTTGGTGGGTGGTGAGCGACTAAGCGTGAGTCAGAGAGAGGGATGAGTGCATGTCAGGTCTTTGGTCTGCCCTCAGTCTTCCTTGGTAGGGGCTCTGTCATCCTACTTTCTAAGAGGTTAGAGTGTATCCTTAGGATGGACAACCTCCATACGACTGAGAGGAATGTGCAGCTTTCAGAAAAGTGAAAAAAAAACTTCTCTTCATATACCTTATCAGTGGCTAATTCTCAGCAGAGGCCCATACTCCCCCAACTCCTCAGCAATTTAGTGCACGTCACTCTCGGGCTCAGTTTCTTCCCCCTCCTTCAGCTTTGAGGAGTGTCCACCCCAGACTGAGTTATCTGATTAAATACAAAAAGTAAATATATTACACTCTGCAAGAGCCACAGTCTTAATACTCCATTAAACAATTTTTACGCTAGTCTGGAAAAAGAAATTCTGACCAATGTCATCTGATGTTTGAACAAAAGATAAAAAGCACTTAAGAGAAGTCTAAAAATAGGGGTAACCAAACAGCTCTTAATTCATTCTTTATGCAAAAGTGTCTGACAGCCATGTTTACCTGTAAAACTGGAACATGTGGAAGTTTCCGCTTATGATAAAAATATCATGTTTGTGTTTCCACAATTTGTAATTTTAGATTAAGTAATTTTGAAACATCTAATTTTGTTGCATTTTACTTTAACTGCACTGCTTTAAAATCGTCCAGGTGATAATATAAAATGAATATATTTTGATATAGAATTATATAATAAAATAATAGAAATCCTTGATTAGTTGTCCTGGTTATGATACAAAGTGCTATAACATTTAATTACTGTAAAGGCCTATTTTTTACTCCAAAATTATTTTTTTTTTTAATTTTATTTCCTCCATGAATTGAAAATCTTTTTCTGCAACATATACTGAGATATGGCTGAAATAACTGGGTCAAATGACACCACAAAGACAGTGTTGTTATGAGCAGTTAAAAATCAAATTACAGTGGCCCTTTCACAGGCCAGATGTACATCACAGTGTAACAGGGCAGTCTACAACCTATGCAAAATTTCTGTGTCTAGCTACTGTTGAAGCATATTTACTGCTTTCACCTAACTATAACTTTTTACTTTGTAATGTTTCTACTGCTCCCAAACATACTGAGACTGAGAGGTGATGTTTGCAGGGTGGAGAGCATGGAGGCTGTGTAAACATGGTGTAAACAGGATGTTTATTATTGCTCGACATTATATTAAAATCTATATTTTCATAGCTTTGAATTTGGACACTAAAACAATTTTTTATCATGAACAGTTACTCCTCGTTTTTTTCTTGGAGAAGGTAGAACAAAAATAGCCAGCAGAATTTATAGTTTCAATTTATGATTATGTATGATATCAAACTTGTGGTATTCTTTTATAAACAGTCGGCTCTATTTGGTTTTTACACCCTCCCAAAATATTGTGTTTTTAGAACATTTATTTCTGTTAATGTTAAATTACCAAAATAGGTGCATTCTGCTCAAGCCTTAGTTTAAAGAAATCATAAAAATGTCTTTTAGGGGTCTGACAGGGAGTATTTTTCAAATATATTATGTCTTGGCCTCCTCAGTCCATACTTAAATGAAATTTTATTTATTTGTGCCAACTGTGCTGTTCAAACTCTTTACAGCCTGTAGTGTGTATTGTATTTTTACCTGCTGGAAATCAGGAACTTGCACTCCCCAATCTTACAAAAATACCACAAAGCATCTCTTTAGTTATGGTTATATTCAGAAAAAACTTAATTGTGCATCAACATGTGATAGAAATGTATCTTTCGTTGTTAATAT